GGTGAGAGTAATGGGTTAATAACACATTTAAAATTAAATAAAATAAAATACTTTCAGTATTGTATGAGGGTCATTTCTTTTGCACAAATTGCTCCAAATTATAGCTGTTTAATTATTAGCTGCATCTGCTTGGCGATGCCACCGATCATCTTCCACACCGGAATCGTATTCTTCTTCAACAGGTTCCTTAGACGGGGCTCTAGACACAAGAAAGCATTTGTTCAGTTGAAAACGAATTACTGGAGGAATGTACATATTTTTAAAAAATTCAAACTATTTGTTCCAATAGCAAAACTGCCAGCAAAATTGATTTTTTAAAAAAGTAGTCACTTTTCTAAAATGAAATTTGAGGTGAGGGGTTGTAACAAAATTGATTTCTCAAGTCCACTGTAGTGCTTCTAAGCTGGTACTGGTTATGGTTAGATTCAGGTAACACTTGATTAAAAAGTTGTGCTGATTACACTATCATGATGCATTACAGTTGTCCTTTGGGCAAGCAGACTAAATTGAGTAAAAGCTAACAATCTAGTGCAAGTATCAGCAACGTTTGATGTGCTTTCATACCCCAAAAGTTTATGAACATTGCAACGTATGTAAGGCACGTGGCTCAGTGGGGGAAAATGGGGACAAGACAACAACTGTTGATGAATTCTTTCAGGTTACAAAGTATTTCACAAACTGCAAAAGCACATGAAAAATGACACAAAGTCTCATAGCAACCAATTTCTATAAAGAGCTTTACTGTACTGCAGATGGAATTTTGTTGATGTGACAACCTACCCAAGGTAACAAATGATTTCTGAAAGAATTGGTATGATTACAAATGAACTCAGCCAGGTTTAGGAACCAAGTTTCCCCTTGGCTATTCTGTCATTACCAGAATTAATGATCTTTCAGCATGGTTCTTCTGCAAATTACACAACGTTCCATTGCATAACTCCTACAAAAGGTTTTGGTCCCCAGTCCTGCAGAAGAATTTATCCAAACCTCTGCTCTAATTACTGCCTGTCAGTTCGGAATTATTATATTTTCCAAACAGGAATTTGATTTAAGTTTGAGAGAAAATATAGTGCTACATTTCCTCAGGAACTGTACTCCATCGACTCAATCAATAAGGTAAAAATTGCATCATGGCAGAACTACTACTGCCAGGAGGGACCAACAGTCTACTCTGTGTGCTTCAGGAAGGAGGAGGTAAGAAGACAAAGCTAAATCATGCATCTTGGGTCAGATTTGAGTTCATTGAAAGAATTATTTAAAACAAAGGGAGATGCCACTTAAATGTTTCCGGTGATATCACTGCACTTGCTGATAGACCAAGACATTTCTGATGCCCGAGTTTAAGATGGCTGTTCCATTGTTTCAAGAATCTCAAATGGATTTGACTTGTTTCCAGACTGTGCAAGGGTTACAAAAAGCTTATTCCAGTTAGTCAGGACAGACAGGCAAGTGTGCAAAGAACTTCACAGTCCAAGATACTGTAATACCAATAGATTTCAGGGAGTTCATTGGGAAAATCTGCATTTCTGGAATTTTAAATGTGATGCTGTCACTAACAGTCTGTTTACGTGGATAACTAAAATTGGCTAACAGTGTTAAACAGGAGCTTTTATCCATCTGCTAAGTGGTGTTGTCCAGATTCAATTGCACAAATACGCAAAACAGATCTGATTCATACACAAATGTTGTGCATGAGGCAGATTCAGTAAAATCTTCACATTATCCAGAACTACATAACCATTGGAAGATTACCGTATATATGCGGGTGGTTTCTTTCCATCCACAATGTCTTTGTCCACTTCTACGGCTACAATGTCTGAATTTGGCACTTCAAACATAGGCTCCAATAGCAACTTTTCCTGAAAGTACATTTTGGTTTCAGAAGTTATCGTTCCACTTCATCACACTCTTCACCCCCAAACCCACTAACCATAGTAACTCTCAAATTAGACTTTGTTCTCTTTAACATTTTTGGGCATTTCACTTAATTCTAAGTTGAATGGCTGCATCAGTTTGAGGGTGCTTCTTTGATGCCAAGCATCTAGTGGTCCCAGTAACCCCATGAGTGGCTCTGTGTATATTTGATCACTATTGTGAAGCATCTTGGATCATTACTTTAAAAGGGGTGAAATAAATGCAATTGCTGCTTTGTAATCCTTAGCTTCAAATAGAAGACTATAGAAAATATATCTTAAGATTTCACAAAACTGCATGAATATTAGAGAAAGCAAACCTGTCTCAAAAACTTACTGTACATCACACTACAACAACTAGCTAATTCTAAAATTCAAGTTTAGATTTAAAATATATGTTACTCGTTGACAGACTCTTTTCATTTTGACCCAGCCTACACTGTCGGAAAACTGCATTTTTGACATAGTCACCAAATCTCTCACTCTTCATGAACTTGTCCAAAAACAATAGTAACAGTGTTAACTGGACTTTTAAAAATCTTTTTAGCAACTTACCATGATCGATCTAAGGCCCCGGGCACCAGTCTTCCTTTCCAGAGCAAGTCGAGCTATGGCTCTCAAGGCATCCTCAGATACATTAAGATCACACTAAACAAAATATTAAAAATTAAAGTCAGCAACACATTCATTAAATAGAAGCATTACGAATTATTGCCTCCAGACAATTCTTGAGTAAAAACATGAAATCTAAATTATTCTATAAATGAAAAATGCAGTGGAAATAATTTTGAGTTCATATTTTGCGTAAGCTTTTCAATTTTTATATATCATCTACTGCAGATCAAAAAGTGTATTTGCAGTGCAGGTTTTAAACTACTGTTCTACCGATTCAGTTATTATATTTTTCTATTTAAAAACATGACAGAGAGGCGCTTGTGAAACGCCTGTTGTATTTACTGGTAATATAAATGCATTTGGAATCAGCAGTTGCCATTCTCAGCCAAAACTGTCTCAGAAGGCTGCAATGCCAAAACAAAAGACAACCAGGAGCTAAAATCCAAATACCATTTTTGTGCAACTGGTTTGAGAAGGTACATAGTTGGGCCCCAGCAGAGGAGTGATCTATTCCCTAAAGAAAGTTTCAAGGGGGTATTTCACATTAAAAAAACAAGCATAATTAAGGGTTAGCATGGAAATTAAACACAAAATCCTTTAATCATCTGCACTCTAATCATCAACTGAAGAGATTCTCAGTTGGTTTAAACACATCATGAGCAATGTAAAGAGCAAAGAAAGCAATAAAAATCTACAATCTAATGAGGCTTGCAAAACTGATCCACAAGAGGTTATATAAATGGACCTAAGCAAGTAAACAGATGGGCTGAGGGCTTTTTTCATTTGTTCCCTCCTGTTTTCCACATCAAAACAAAAGATCCAAATAAAAAGTAAGCCATGATATTTATTTTGCAGAAGAAAAAAGGGAAAATAAATTCCCTCTTTGGTGACTAATAAAAGCGAAAGAGAATGAGAAGAGTGGTGACTCTCACCTTATCCATACTAAACAAAGCCTGATACTGTGGGACTACAGCATTTCGAGGTTCTGTTAGAATTCGCACCAATGTGTCCTCATTTAAACTATGTAGTGGAACTATCACAGGCAGACGTCCTACAAATTCTGGAATCATTCCAAATTCTATCAGGTCCCGGGCCTCAACGTGGCGAAGTAACCTGTCTTTTTCTTCTAATTCCTGGACAGTATTATTGTCACCGCTTGTATTTGCTAAATCAGCAGCAGCTGCTGCCCTTCTCCCCTTGCCAAGATTAGACGGGGTGCCAAATCCAAGATACTGTAGAGATAGAGACAGAAACTGTAACTAAAATGCTAATGTATGCAAATTATTTACATTGTCAAAAACAATAACCTATAATCAAGAATTGTGTTCAGAATAGTCAAATTTCATTTATGATAGAGTTGATAATTCTATGGATGTCCTCAGAAAAGCAACATGTAAATTATTTAATTTCCTTTTGCCAATGTATTTTCACCCCCTATAAGGGGCTGTGTGCTTCAACATGTTTAACAGTTTCCAATGCATCACCATCATCCTCCGTTTTACCAAATAAAAATCAGTATTTAATATGTACACTTGGTACAGAAATTATTCAAGGACAATTACCAAGTTTCGCTGCAAAGAAGTCATGACCAATAATCTGCAGGCTTTAACTATCTGAAAGATGACCATTTGAATAAGGTTGCAGAGGGGAACACAGTACCGATTACAAACATATATGGCTGATTTCTCCTAGCTAATTAGTCAGAGAAGGCTTACCTTTTCATTCTTTCTCCTGCTGATAATCCTATCCAGACCATTGAAAGCACCAGATGCCACAAATAAAATATTAGTTGTATCCACCTGAACAGTCTCTCCTCGTAATTTCCTTGAATTTTTTTCTGGAACATTTACAATTGTCCCCTCAAGCAGCTTCAACAGCCCCTGCGTAAAAGAAAATTAAATTCTTTACAAACATGTACATATCATATTGACTAATTGAACCAGAATTATTCATACTTCAGTTGTTGCACTATTGTCACCTTCCTACAGCACCTTAAATAAAAAGTAGTCTACTAACAGCTAGCAGTCATAAAACAGCATGCACAGGAGGCTATTTGGCACAGTGAATCTCCAATAGCTGTGAAGAGGAATCCAGACAGTCCCATTCCTGTCTCACATCTGTGCATTTTCCTCCTCCTCAAAAAAAAACTGTCAAATTCCCTTTGAAGTCTACTGAATCTCTATCTACCACCATTTCAGATAATACAATCTAAATCCTAACCGCTTAAATGCTTTCTCATGCTGCTGGTGGTTCTCCAGCAAAATCATCTTAAACTTGTGGTTCTGGTTAAGCCACTGGAAATAGAGAAAACAAAGAAAATTATTTAAACTTTTAGAAGACTCTCCTCTATTCTTTGTCATATCTTATCTTAGCCTTCTCCACACTCAGGAGAAAGAAAAAAAAAATTCTTCAGTCTATTCTCAATTCTGGAATCATTCCAGTAAACTCTACGGCAGCATCTTGAAAGTTTTTATACCGTTCCCAAGTGTGGTAGCTGGAGGTAGATAATATTCCAGCTGGAACTGAACCAGTGTTTTAAATATGCTTAGAATATTGTCCTGTTCTTTGCACTCTACGGCTCTATATATAAAATCCAGAACTCCATATTTTTATTACCTGCTTTGTTAACGAGTCTTGGTGTTCAAAGATTTGTGCACAAAAGCCTTTTCTTACGTCCCCTTTAAAACTATGGTTCAGCATTTATTACTTCTCCTCTCCTCATTAATCCCACTAAAGTATCACCAAACATTTGTGCCGAGTTTCCTTTGCCATATTGTTTTGCCTGTTCCACTAGTCCAAATGCTGCTGAAATCTAATGAATAATAATCCTAAATTAAAATAGTGGTTACATTATTGAAAATTACAACTTTAAGTGAAGTATTGATTCCTATGGGAATCAATGTTAAAGCCAGAATTAGGTTTGAGGAACTTCTGTCTTTGCAACATTTGAAATACTGTAATATAAAAGTGTGCAGCACTGTGCATTCCTAGCTGAAATAATTTGCAAACCAAAAGGAAAGTTTCAGTGAGGAACGTAGGCTTCTTTCTTGCATAGATCATTTGAAGAAATTTACAGCACAAGTTCCTCAACTACAGGTACAAACACAGAAATAAGAAATAAACATTTAAAACAAAGTTTACTGCAGAAACTGTGATAAGAACTATTTACAAAATGATTTTTGACTACAGTGCGCAGACATAACCACAAACTCCAACAGCCCAATAAAGGGTTCTCGTGATGATGCAAGAGATGTAATGACCCGATGCGTAACCACGAAATAAGGGATGTTGAAGACCAAGAATGTCACTTCAAATGAGAATGGGGAAATAAAAACAAATTTAAAGCAGAAAAGCTTTAAAAGGGCAGATATAAAACTCCATGTACTATCTTTCTCAGGGTTTACTCGTCTTCCAACCTTTATTTCAGTTGTACAATTTTGTAGTCAGAGTTCAAATGTGTTCATTGAGTTATTGCATGACAAATACAGTAGTGGCGTTCCAGGACTTTTAGCAAGGAAACAGCTTCCAATATTCCCAAGTCAGAATAATGAGTGGCTTGTAGACGAACTTGAAGGTGGTAGGGCTCCCATGTATCTGTTTCCTTGTCCTTTTCAATGATCATGGTCACGGATTTGGAAAGTGCTGTCGACGGAGCTTTGATGAATTTGTGCAATGCATCTTGTCAATGGTACACACTGCTGCTACTGAAACTGGAGGTGGAGAGAATGCATGTTTATGTATGTGGTGACAATCAAGCAGGCTGCTTTTCCTACATGGCAGCAAGCTTCGAGTGCTTTTGGAGCTGCATCGTCTACGTGTATGGGGACTATCCCAACACACTCCTAACTCTTGCTTTGCAGATGGAGGGCAGGCTTTGAGGACTTAGGCGGCGTATTACTCACTGCAGGCTCCGAATTTGTGTGGCGAGTCCTGTTGTTTCTGATCAGTAGTAAGCTCGAACAGTTGATACTGGGAGATTTTACAACACTACCACTGAACATCAAGAGGCAGTGGTTGGATTCTCTTATTGGATATACTCCTTGACCCTTGTGTAATGAGAAAATTATTGCTGCTTATTTGCTCATGCTTGTATACTGTCCAAGTCTTGCTGCATTTGAACATAATTGCTGCTGAACATTTCACAATCATTTGCACGCATCCCCACTTCTGACGTTATGGTAAAAGGAGATTGACGAAGTAGCTATGTTGGGCCTATGACACCAGCCTGAAGAACCTGTGCATGGTGTTCTCTTGCTGTGAGGACTGACCTCCAACAGCCACAGCCATCTTCCTTTGTACATCCCAACCAGGGGACGGTAATGGCAGAGTAGGGGATAGGCCATGTCACGAGGCTACAGATTATTAGAAATCCATCTCAATTACCACAACACAATGGAGGCCTTCCTCAACGTGAAGGCAGGATTTTGTCTTCAAGAGCTCTGCTATGAGGTGGTCATTCCTACTGATACTGTCATGGGTAGATTCATTTGCAGTGGGGATTGCCGAGGATGAGATTAAATGTTTTTCCTTCTTGTTGATTTGTTCACCACGTATCACAGTCTAATAGACATGTTCTTCAGGTGAACAGCTTGGTGAGTAGTGGTACTACCGAATCACACTCGGTGATGGTTGTTGAAGATCCCACCCCGTATATTTTGTGCCCTTGGTTCCCTCACTGTTTCCTCCAAATGACATTCAACATGGAGGAATGCTGACTTATTAGCTGGGCAGCTTATTATAATCAGCAGATAGCTTCCTTGCCCATGTGTGGCAAGATACCATGACATTTCATGAATCTGGAGTCAACTTTGAGGACTCGCAGGGGAACTCTCTCAATTTCACAACACTGAGCTGCAGTCTCTGCTCATCTGTCCTGCTGGTGAGATATGACATACCGGGGGATGGTGATGGCATTGGCATTGTCTGCAAGGTATAATTTCCTGATGACCGTGTCATACAGTTGTCTGATCAGTCTGAGAGACAGTTATCCTAAATTTTGCATTAGCTGCTAGATGTTGTATAGACTTTGCTGGGTCAACAGGGCTGAGATGCCATTGTTGTTTCTGGTGCCTAGGTTGATGCCAGAGTTTCCATCCGGTTTCATTCTTTTGAGGTGTTTTAGTGGTTTGAAACAACAAAGATCTGCTAGGCCATTTCAGAGGCCTGTTAAATATCAAACACATTGCTGTAGGTCTGGAGTGAAATATATGCCAGACCAGACGACGACGACAGATTTCCTTCTTTAAAGGACATTAATGGATGAGATGAGTTTTTAGGATAATCGACAATGGTTTTATGGTCACCGTTAGGCTTTTAATTCCAGATTTCTTTTTGAATTTTAATTCCACCACCAGCCTCAGTGAAATCTGAACCCAGGTTCCCAGTGTCTCTGGATTAATAGTCCATGATAATACGATAATACAATTATTCCATTGCCTCCCTGGTTGATATACAAGTGGATGATAATTTTTTTTCTGGATCAAGGTTTCCAAATTCTTCCTAATAAATGATGTTGAACTGGTTGCATTTAACAGCCATGTTTAACTTCTCAATTTCTTATGACCCAGAATCTTTAGTCCTGAGACTCTGCCTAGGTTATAATATCACCAGCCAATTCTAATATCAATGTCTAGCCTACTTCATTGGTCCCCAAAACCATAAATGAAAAGCCAAAAGACCATATATAATCATAGTCAATTATTTTGTCATAAGCATGTTGAAAAATGATTATCTAAAAATATTTTCCCATTAACTCATTTGTTTGATTGAAATTCCTTGTCGCTTACCTGCTGAACACCTTCACCACCCACATCACGTAGTTGATGAATCCCTGGCACGCTGCCAATCTTGTCTACTTCATCCAAGAAGACTATTCCTGGAAAACAATAAAACAATAGCAAAATGCATACAAAATCCCACAAATAGCAATTAGCTAAATGACCAGTGTATCTATCTGCTGATTGATATTTATAGCACAGCAGTCATTACACCAGGAGAATTGAGAAAATTGCCACAGATTGTGTTTTTTTTTTCCATATGACAGAAGATGCTGCTGCTTTATGTCTCATTCCAAAAAAAAACAAGACTACTCAGTATTGCTATCAGGAAGTGTCAAGGTCATTTGCTTAAGGTTGCAGTGGGGTTTGAGACAGTGGGGCGGACAGAGAGAAAAAAGTCCATAAACATATGATTTCAAGTTTAATTCTGAAGAAAAGAATTTTGCATAATTTATCTCCAACTCCCTCAAGATACATAAAATTAAACACTTTTGAATTTTAGTTATTATTATAATATAGGAAATGCGGGAGTCAATGATTGAGGGTGAAGAAATGCCTGACAGAGGATAGTGGAACCACTGATGGAGAAAATGCTAGCAAAAGATAGATATGCAAACCTTTGAATTATTCAACAGGACCCAGAAACTGCAAGTCATGATTTTGTTCAGTGGTAGTATCCTTACCTTTGAGCCAGGAAGCCTGGGTTCAAGCTACACCTGTGTAATAACAGGTTGATTACAGCTACACTACAGGAGGAGTTCTGGTCATTAGTGGTGCTACTATCAAAACTTTTGAGAGTTTTGCAGTGACAGAGTGATGACAAAGGTTTCCTAGTTCTGCTGCTTGCAATGTAGTAACTTTGTTTTCTATTCTGAAGCCTGACTATACCAAGAGCAATACTCTTAGTAGGAATTAACAATAGCATGTAAATGCAGATTCATTTTATTAAATATGACACATTATTAAGGGAGCTGTACCAAAGCATACAGATTAAATTATTGAACTAGTAATTCAGAGTTCTGACCTACTGATCTGAAGACATTAATTCAAACCTCACCATAACGGAGGTCCTTAGGCAGTACCTTTCAAACCCACCACTGCCATAATCTAGAAGAACAAGGGCATCAGATGCATGGAAACAACATCAGCTGCAAGTTCTCCTCCAATCCACTCTGCACTCGGATTTGGAAGTACATGAAAGTACTTAGAAGTTCCTTTCACGTCACTGAATTAAAACCCTGGAAATCAACTGCAGCATTTCAAGATGGCAGCTGATCACCACAATCTCAAGTGCAACTAAGCCTAAACAATAAATGCTGGCCCAGTAAGTGAAATCCACATCCCAAGGGTGAATAAAAGCTGACATTTTTTGATCAGATAAAGCAACCAAAGGAAAACATGATAGACAGTTGCCGGTGTTCTTTATAATTCTTTCAATCTCCCATAAATATGCGCTTTATTTCATTTTTTTGAATTGCAGTTCATGAATAAGCTTGAAACATCAACACATTCTTCATTGAAAAGTTATGAACATAAAAAGGTAAAAGCTTCATCCACAGTATACCAGCAAATACTTCAATTTTACCAGGTGTATGAAATGATGAGATAATCAATACCCTTCCATCATCTCTGGAAGATCATTTGAGAGTACTGAACTGAGAATACTGAATTTTAACTGTTAATAATTTAATTAATAAGACATCTGAAAAAATAGCAGTATATTCAGTGATATGCTGTGAGGCTATTACTTTTATTTATTTTGACTGGGCAACAAAGATTTGAATATAAAATTAAACTTTGAGTGCATACTTAAATTTAGGCTGTTCAAAGCTTATGATGGATAAAATTAATTTCTTCAAATCTTACCTTGCTGAGCTTTATCCACGTTATAATTGGCATCCTGTAAGAGCTTAGCCACAACTGATTCAATATCTTCACCTACATATCCAGCTTGGGTCAGGGTAGTACAGTCACAAATGGCAAAGGGAACCTCTAGGCATCGGGCAAGGGTCTGCGCTAGTAAGGTCTTACCTAATAGAAAGAAAATCTTTTATCTTACATGTTTACCATCTTTATAGCTAAGCACTTCCATCCAAAGGACAGTATATGTGGTAATTCAGTGACATCCACAGCTCTAATGTGTGTGCTGCATCAGAAAATAGTAGTGTGCACATACAGAGGAAAACACTATTAAAAAAGTCTAAGAACATTAAAATTACTGATTGATAAAGAACATTAATTATTTTCACAACAGTAGTTTGACTCATCATGGGATGCAAATACAATACTTGGCATTTAAAAGGAAACATACCAAAATAGTCTAAAACCTGCCACCATCCATCTGCAAGAATGACTATTAATACCGAACTGGTTTTACACAGAACAAATTCTCTTATTTTGATACTTGCTTTGACTCAAACATTGTACAATTTTGATAACACTTGCTAAGCTCAAATAACAGCATTCCACTGTGTGATCACTAAAGCTTGCTGCAGCACTACAAATACTTGTTTCCCATTTTAAGCTGACCTGATCCTGTGGGACCAAGTAGCAGAATGTTGCTTTTCTCCAACTTAATGTCATCATGAGTCGAGTCAAGCACCTCTCCTCCTCGCTTCTCTTGGGGAATCGACTGACTTGCTTGCTGTTGCATGGAGGCTCCAAGTGCATTACTGTGTGGACTGATGCCTGCAATCTGCAGCAACTCTACAGAGAGCAAAAGGTAAAGAACGAACAAGAGAATCTCAATATTTTACACCTACTTCCAAAATCCTGTAGAAATTAGAATTGTGGTAATGCAATTGTAAAATATGCACTGCAGTAATAACTATGCTGGTTTTTCTAATGTTTGTAGAATCACATTAAGTGATTTAATCAATGTGTTAATTAAACCTTAAATATTTGTGTCAGCATATGTCTAATGAAATAGGACACATTAAAAAAATACACCAGTGATTCCTATACAATATTTTAAAATTATCACTCAAAAGGATTTACAAACCTGAATCTCTTTTTTTTATCCAAACTTTTGTACTTGAATCAAGTATGTAAACAAAAACACTTTTCTAATGATTTGGTCCTAAAGCAGAATTAAGTCAGAAAAAGCTTCCATATTTAATTGGGATAGGGTGTGTGGCGATCAGCACAAAAAGCCAGTGTTGGAGAACAAAAGGTTTTCCAATTATACACCCCGTTTTGGTATCAGGTGCACCAAGTTCAGGAACAACACAGGCACAGTGAAGTCTAGTCTGAATAAAATACACTCACTTAAGAAAATTAAATGCTAGGTCCATTGTTGTGAACTTTATTCCACTTACAGTAAGCATTCTTCCATCTCATGAGACTGGGAAAATATAAAAATGCTGCAACTCTGAAATAAAAACAAGAGATTGCTGCAACTACAGTTTAAAAGATTGGCAAACGATGTGAATCCTCACTACTGCCAGTCAGTTGTGGCTCAGTGGATACTGCTCAGGTCTGAGTCACAAGGTTGTGGGTTCAAATCCCACTGTTGAGCAGGTTGATGTTCTCAGGTGTAGTACTGAGGGTGCACTGCACTGTCAACCTTTCTAGGTGGACATTGAAGAAAGTTCTTTTCTTCTCCCCACAAACTTAGGATTCTCTCTTTTTCAAATTTGAATATTCTTTCCTAATTCTAGGGGCTTGTGACCCACAACTATTTAGGGACAGCTCCAAGGTTTCTGATGTTGATGAACTTAATACACCAGTATTGCAGCTGAACCATACAGACCAGGAGGGTTTCTTCACTTTGTGTATGAAGTTCACTAATACCAGATGCAATTATCAGGGACGCAACTAGCCTCAGTAGCTCCAAGTTATAAAAGTTAGTCAGGTTTCATTTACATGAATGCTGTTCGGGTAAAGATAGATATAACTGTAGATACTGAGAATCCAAAATAAATTTGCAATATTAATACCAAGATCTCCATAAAATAGTTTTTGAAGCTAAAAATGTTTTTTCTTCCAAGAAGTCTCCTCTTCCATTACATTAGAATTTGATTTTGACTTTTGTTTCAACTACCAATTAAGTAGTTGGCTCAGAAGTAAACACTCTATTCTCATTATACATTCCTTTCACCCACATAAATCTTCTATCTTCTCGGTTATTTCCCAATTAGATATTTTTCCCCTCCCTTGTGTCCCATGGTTGAAGCTCAGGTTGAAACTCATGCTGTTGCATATTTGTACTTCTGAAAAAAAACAATTCAGACACGTTAATGACCCCTCTCCATGGAGAGGGGAGGACTTAAACCTGGGCCTTTGAGCCCAGAAATAGGGACAATACCACTGTACCACAAAACCCCTTATTCTTTTGCTGTTGTACAATTGCCCTACCAAGTCCCTACATAATAAGCACCTTTAGCAAGTGGTCACTTGTCATTCTCAAATGAATTGTTTGATTAACCAATTGAGGCCACAGCATTTGAACTCAACCCATTATGTCGCTAGGTGTTGCACACTTGTCGGACCCGATTGAGGGCCCTGTTGACAACAGTGCTGGGGAATCCTCAGTTGAAGAAGATGGACATTTCAGAGGCTCCCTTATTGAAGTTGGCAGCATCCGAACATATGCGAAGGAACTGAGAGAATGGGATGGAGTCTTTGCAGGAAGCAGGGTGTGCAACACCTAGCGACATAATAAAACTACATTCAAACCACACTTGTCTCAGATGGCTTAATTAATGGTTTAAAACCACATGAAACACTAAGTAGATATTACAATTCAAAAATATGGCAGTGGCGTTATTTCTCTCTATGATTGCCATCACAATATATTTGTAGGATATACTGCATTTATCTAAAATCCAGATATACAAGGAATAAGCTCCACATCCCAGCTATGTCACACACAAAATTTGTGCATGAGATGTGAAACTCCCCAGGTTAGGATCCTCTGCCATCTAGCTGCCGTGTGAGCTATCATGATGCGCTCCAGGTACTGTTCGTCCACAATAGAGCAAACGGAACAATTTTCACAATTTACCTCATGCATAGAATATCAACACAAGCTGGTAATTCACAACTACAAAGGCCCCAGCAAAATTTCCAGAAACAAAAAACTTGAGCCCGAAGGCCTTTGAAATTCTAACTAGTCTTCTAATTTTCAGCCACAGGTAGTGGTTGAGGCCAAAATGTGAATATTTCAAGGAGACAGATGTAGCTCCTGGGTCTAAAAGGATGAAAGGGTATGGATCAAAAGCAGGAACAGGGTACTAAGTTGGATGATCAGCCATGATCATATTGATGACTGCAGCAGGCTTAAAGGGCTGAATGGCTTACTCATTTAAGTATTTTCTATGGTTACATTCATTTCCAACTTTGAATGACTAAATTTCATACAACTATCCAGTAATTTCCACATACCAGGTATTTATGTTACTAAATGTAATGTTTCATTTTTAACTGTGCACACTACAAATCTGTTAGACTTCTTATGAAGTGACCAGGAGGGTTGACGAGGGCAGGGTGGCAGTCGACACCGGTGCCAGGGAATCCTCAGTTTAGGAAGAAGGTGGACATTTCGGTGGGCATCCACTATAAACCCACTGACTCCCACAGCGACCTGGACTATAAATCCTCACACCCTGCTTCCTGCAAAGACTCCATCCCATTCTCTCAGTTCCTTCGTCTCCGTCGCATATGTTCGGATGCTGCCAACTTCAATAAGGGAGCCTCTGAAATGTCCATCTTCTTCCTCAACTGAGGATTCCCCAGCACTGTTGTCAACAGGGCCCTCAATCGGGTCCGACCCATCTCCCGCACTTCTGCCCTTATCCCCTCTCTTCCCTCCTGCAACAGCGATAGGGTTTCCCTTATCCTTACCTACCATCCCACCAGCATCCACATCCAGAAGATCACATGCAATTTCTGCCACCTCCAGACACACATTCCCCTGTCCTCCCCTCCCCACCCCACCTTCAGCAGGGACTGTTCCCTCCTGGTCCACTCTTCCTTCACTCCCAACAACCCCCATAGCCGCATGACACCTTCCCCTGCAAACGGCAAAAGGTGCAACACCTCCCCATTTAACTCCTCCCTCCCCAGTATTCATTGGCTCAAACATACCTTCCAGGTGAAGCAACACTTCACCTGCACTTCCCTGAACCTAGTCTACTGCATTCGCTGCTCACAATGTGGTCTCCTCTACATTGAGGAAATAAAGTGTAGACTGGGTGACCACTTCACAGAACATCCAAGTTGTGCTCACAAAAAAGACCGAGCTTCCAGTTGCCTGCCACTTTAACACACCATCCTGTTCCCTGGGCAACATCTGTCTCTAGCTTGCTGCAGTACTCCAGCGAAGCTCAGCACAAGCTGGAAGAACAACACCTCATTTTCCGCTTGGTGACTCTGCAGCCTTCCGGACTCCATATCGAGTTCAATAATTTTAGGGCCTAAACTCTCCCATGTCCTAGCCCCCTATCCCACACAACGGCCTTGTTATCACATAGCCTGCATATTACACACTAACTATTGTTAGTCACTAACAGTCCCCATTAACAGCTATTCACCCTCCTAGCCAGATCGTTATCCACTTCTTTGACTGTCCAACTGCTCTTCTCTCTTGGGGCTTTATCCTATCGTTTACTCCCTACCCCATCCCCCTCCCTATTTTCTGCATATAAACCAATGTTTTCCCAGCTACCATCAGTTCTGAGGAAGGGTCACCAGACCAGAAACTTTAACGAATTTTTTTTTCCCTCAGATGCTGCCAGACCTGGACTTTTCCAGCAACTTCTGTTTTTGTTCAAGAATAAATGGGTATCTGAGAGGCAACTCTTTTTTCCCCCAGCAGCAAATGAATTAGTAACTTGATCAACCAAGTAATACGTCCATTTAGACTCAAAGTGTCATAGAGATGTACAGCACAGAAACAGAACCTTTGGTCCAACTCGTCAATGCCAACCAGACATCCTAAATTAATCTAATCCCATTTTACCAGCATTTGGCCCACATTCATCCAAAATGCTTCCTATTCATATACCCATCCAGATGCCTTTTAAATGTTGCGATTGTACCAGCTTCCACCACTTACCCTGGCAGTTCATTCCATACGCACACCACCCTCTGCATGAAAATGTTGCCCCTTAGGTCCGTTTTAAAAAACTTTCCCCTCTCACATTAAACCTATGCCCTCCAAGGCATATTCACCCTATCCATGCCCCTCGTGATTTTATAAACCTCTATAAGGACACCCTTCAGGCCCCAATGCTCCAGAGAAAAAAGCCTCAGCCCATTCAGCCTTCCCCATAGCTCAAACTCTCCAACCTTGGCAATATCTTTGTAAATCTTTTCTAAAGCCTTTCAAGTTTAACAACATCCTTCCTATAGTAGGGAGGCCAGAAATGAATGCTGTATTCCAAAAGTGGCCTTACCAACGTCCTGTACAGCTACAACATGACCTCCCAACTCTTATACTCAGTGCACAGACCAATAAAGGCAAGTGTAGTCAGCACACCTTTAAAGAGAGACATTTCAAATTACCCACAGAGACCAAACATAGATTTGAACTTGGATTGTTAAACTTGGACTGTTAAAAACTAACAGCACTAAAAAAAGTAAATGGAGCGAGATGGTTGGTACAAGAAAAATAAAAGCTGCTTCAGTGTGCTGAAATTACATTCAATTTGAGGAATGGCCTCAGATTCCAACTTGTCGTTATAAGACAACCCAAACAGCGGTGTCACCGCATTTTAAAATATATGCGACATGTATACCAGTGTTCTAAACATTTTTTGATTATGCCAATATGCTTGAATTAAAATACTAAATAAATATGTAAATGATGAAATGGGAAAAAAGTATTTTGAATGAGTTAACGTGTGAAGTGATAAAATCATTGTTTAAAGCAAAATAGATGGTTAGTATCTTTTACTGACTAATTTGATCCTGGCCGTTACTGAACAATTTGCAGAAGTTGTGTAGGGCAGGTCAGATTTCCCAGAGACTGCATGAAGCAGGATTCCTGATTCAGCAAATTTCATAACTTGGCCTTCTGTGCCTAAAGGGCAGAGCACAGTGTGATGATTCCGCTGGAAGAAAGTTTGAGAAAATTGGGCTGGCAGCATAAAACTTGGCGATTAGGTTTAAGCACTAGCTACTCCATGGCCAGTGAAATCATGGTTTTTTTAAGGGACAATGCAATTGCTACTTCACTTCGATATGGAATAAATTTGATCAATGCTAGATCAAATTAGGCATCGCTTCTAGCTGAACTAGCTGAAGGTTACACAGATAATTGAATGATTTCAGAACCAATTTCAGTTTTAAAAAAGCTAAACCTCTGGTGTAAATCTGGAGTCAGGTTCAACTGAGACAGATTCTAATTTCTTTGAAAGCAGGAGCCCACAGTGCTTCACTTTGTTACTAAAGTGAACTTTGCACAGTCAGGGAGGAGAGATCACATCCAGAGTGAGACACAGCCCAGGTGAGAATATAGTTCAGGGAATAGGGAGACACCGTGGGAATAGAACTGGCAAATCTTTCTTAAAAAGTTTAAAATTCAGTAGTCTGGGGAAAAGCTTACAAGTGTCTGAGCGATGGTTATCAATGACTTGAAGCTTGAACACAGCCTTAGTAAGTGTTAATTACTATTGAAACTAATGCAAATCATTTCAGCTCACCTCAGCTCAAGGTAAGAAATGGCCTGGTGAAAGCACATGATCAGAAAGCTTCATGTGGTCAGGAAGGAGAGATCACATCCAGAGGGAGAGAGAGTCCGAGTGAATATATAATTTCGGGAATTTGGAGGCAATTTTGGGAGTCAGTGCAGAGGGTAAGAGGTGCTTTTTGCTTGCTTTTTTTTTGGCTTGTTCTTTGTAAGATATAGTGGATGTGGAGATGATGTTTCCACTAGCAGGAAAGACTAGGACCAAAGGGCACATCCTCAGAGTGAAGACATTGCCTTCAGAACTGAGGTGAAGGGGAATTTCTTCAGCCAGAGGGTGGTTAATCTGTGGAACCTATTGCTGCAGAGCTTTGGAGGCCAAGTCATTGAGTATATTTAAGGCTAAATAGATACCTCCTTAATTAGTAAGGGGATCAAAGGGAGAAGACGGGAATACGGGTTGAGAAACATGTCAGCCATGATTGACTAGTTTCAACAGAACTGGAGTCGAATAGCCTAATTCTGTTCCTGTATCTTATGGTCTAACATCCAGTGCAATACCAAATCTACCTTAGAATGCACATCATTTAAAAAAAAGAATTTTTCCTCCCACCAGCCTTAACTACTAAGAAGAAGAGTTATCAAGTGCTTTGTTCCTTGCTGCTCGTTAGGAAAATGACACACCTTAATTTAAATTACTGAATTCTGACAACATAGTAGACAGCCAAGTAAAAATTGTCTCTAAGCAACTGTACCTCTATAGGAAATATCAATGTCAAGTGCAGAAGGAATGTGAAATGTTAAAAGGAAAAATAGAGGGTTTTACCAACCCACATAGAAATGGCAGCCAACAGATTCTGTACAAAAAGCAGAAAGATTATTGCGAACAGAAGGGCTCATTATTAATGAAATTGAGTCACTTAAAAAAAAAAAAAAAAAAACTTAGATACAATAATCTGCCAGGGAAAGATGATGGCATTTACAAAGGTATCTATGTTCAGTAACATTAGTAGATTCAGAAAATATGATTTGTCTGAGAATTTAAAGTCTAAGGAATATTCCTCTGGAATACAGTCACGTCGTGTATTGCAACAAGTTCACCAATCTTTCATCGGTTCATAATACCTTTTGACTTTATATAAAATATTCAATCTTACTACCAGCATAAATGAGTGTCAAGGATCCCTTCCTGTTTGGCTCAAAGCATTAAGGGGTCATCTTCAATTGTCTCTAATGCAAACAGCAACAGGGGTGCAGCAAGTGCTGCAGAGACCAATGAAACTATATTATATATAGGCCAAGAGCATCGATATGTCAGGCTCTACCAGCTCCTTTAGATAAGGCTGTAAGTCTGCTTAAAAGGTGCACGATTGCTGATTACAATGCAGCCACCATGGACATTTCTGGAACTGCTATCAGTAGACTGAAGAATTCAAAATGGAATTGTATCAGTTTGAGTCAGCAAAGCAGAGAATGACAAAGGCTGAAAGAGAGAGAGAGAGAATCCAGCCAGATCCTGAAGGATAACATTGAATGTCTGAACAATCTTCTCTCATTTCAACATCCTTAAATTCTTAATATCTGTCAAGTTTTTAAAAAGGGTCAAATTATTATATACATAACAATACATTAGCTTTTTGCATCATGCAGGTACACACATATACATACAGGCAAAACGCAGGATTAGAGTGCAGATCTGTGGAGTTAGACATTTTTCAATCTTGCACTTATGGCTCTATGGCTTAACGTACAAATGAAAAAATAAATACTAATACTACTTCAAACAGGCAAATCGAAGACGATGAAGAAATGTGCCATTTTCCCATCTTTTAAAAAAAAAGTGCGTTCTGTAAAGGTTAGTATTCAGATTGTAAACTACAGATATACTGCTTCAACTTAATGCAGTGAATGGATTATGAACTTTTATTGGCTAACACAAAGATTATGTTTGGAGTTTAGCACATGGAGCAAACTTTGAGACAGCTACCAATGCTCCGAATATGCCTTAGATACAGGGAAACAAACAAGGACAAGTTTTACTCAAATCAAGCTTTCAATGAGTGTCGCTTTTTTAAAAAAACAAGTCATAAATCAAATTAAAACTTTTTTGGAGGTAGAGGATGGTAAAAATACAGATCAGACCACATTATAGACTTGAAGCAAGTTATAAACGTGTGGAAATCAATGAAAGAATTTCATCAAGTATTTTCAATAAAGTCTGCGCTGATCAATTATGTTCTGTATTTTGTACAATTTTTACTTAATGAACACAGATCTTCTCAAATGTTGCACATTATATTTATTGTCCTTCCAAAAAGGTTTCGGAAGAAACATCAATTTGAAACAAATTATAAATTTGTATGATCACCTGTGTCCATTTTTAGACCACCAAGGATATCCATGTGGTAGGATACAGAATTCAGTAACAACTGAACTGTTTTCAGTTTCAAACAAAAAAAAGAGAAAACCAAAAAAAGGGCACAGGCGAGAAGATTGAGTCAACTTACTTGTAAATCTGTACTCATCCTCTCGTCTTCGGATTTCTAACTCTACAGAGAAAGGTTAGAAATATTAAAGAACAAACTGACTAAAAGCAGCAACAGGCATAGATGAACTTTCAATGTGCACATTTAATGCATGAATATGTGTTTACTTGATCCCACTGGTCTATAAATTTTTAAAACACAGAACAGATCCATACTGGAGGAGCATAATTGTACAATGATCCCTTATGTGACGTGAGTTTCTTAGCCACACCCCACCTTACAAAAGGATGTTACAATAACTCATTAGTTAAAATGTAGAGATTTTTAGGGAGGCACAGGTAGGACAGATCTAACAACACTTTCTATTGGAGTACAGTACGGATGGAAAATTTAAAATATATATTCTACGTATTGCAGGCTACTTATAGGCAGCGTCTCAAAACTGGAAACTTCAGTGTGAATGGGACTGGATTTTGCATCATGCCAATTTTCGATTCAGGTCAAGGTTGCATGGAACACAAGGAGAAGAGAGAAAAGACCAACATGTAAAACTGATAACTAGCCCACACATTGCATAGCATCAATGTAAGCACCTAGGTGAATAAGCTGGTAAGTTATTTTAGTTATTCAAGAGAAAGTTCAAGCTTGGCAGTTTAGATAAATTCCTGGATTTTGGACATCTCTGACTTTCGGAGAGACAGTTCAGATACATATACTTTCACAAAAAAAAGTCTTCAAGAGACTTGAACAAACTGTGTTTCTTTCATCATTATAAAGTTACAACAAATTAGGTCACTATTTAGGCAGTTATGTACAAACAAATTATTTACAAGTTAAACATTTTAAATATTCACTTTAGTTGTGTGTGTCATGAGGTTCATTTTAATTCATTTTTCTTTAGTTTAAAGCTAAAGGTTACACTATAAAAAATTACAACAGAAGGCAGCTGTTTGGCCCCTCAAGCCTGCTTTGCCATTCAATAGGATCACGGCTGATCAGACATTCCTCCTGTTCACTTTGTGCCTTTTTCCAATAAATTTTGCTTTCCAAATGGATCAGGAATTTTCAGCATTAGGTATATACAAGGACTTTATCCGCACAGTTCTCTCTGGCAAGAAGCTCCAAACCCTTGAGAAATTCCTCCCAATCTCAGTCTTCAATTGTCGTTGCGTTAATTCTGCGACCATACCCTCTGCCCCTACACTCTCTCGAGGGAAACATCCTCTCAGCATTTACTCTTTCAAGCCCCTTCAGGATTCTACATGCTTTAAGATCACCTCGCATTCTACTGAACTCTGATGAGTAGAGTTTCAAAATTGTTTAGCCTTACCTTGTAAGACGATCTCTCCTTACCAGGGATTTCCTCATGAACTGACTCCAATGAAATAATATCTTTCCTTAGATAAGGACTGAAATCACTCAGTACTCCAGATGTGGTCTCACCAGCATCTTCTACAGTGGCAGTAAAATTCCCTGCTCTTATATTCCACCTCCCTTGAAATAAGGGCCAATATTCCATTAGCTTTCCTGATTACCTGCTGCACCTGTGTGCAAGCTTTGTGTTTTGTGCGCAAGTACCACCAATCCCTTGCATTGTAACTTACTGCAGCTTTTCTCCACTTAATATTCTGTTCTTTTGTTCTCTTCCAAAATGAATAATTTCACATTTTCCCATAATGTACACCATTTGCCAACATTTTGTCCAATGACTTAACCTCAACCATAACATCAATATCTCTCTAAACTGTTTGTACTCCTCTCACACTTGCCTTTCCACTTATTTTTGAGTCATCTGCAAATCTGGCCATAGTACATTTTCTTCTGTCCTCCAAGTCATTATATACATTGTAAAAAGTTGTGATCCCTGCACTGATCCCTATGGAACCCCACTGGTCACAGGTCAATAACCCTATTCACTTATTCCACAATCACTGTTTCCTGTCCATAAGCCAATTCTTTATCCATGCCAATATACAACTTCAAATACCATGGGCTCTTATGACTTAACCTTTTGTGAGGTACCTTGTTGAATGCCTTTAGGAAGTTCAAACGACACATTTACTAGTTCCCCTCTATCCACTGAGGCAGCCTTGAAAAATTCTAATAAATTAGCCAGACATGATTTCCTTTTCATGAAGTTACACTGACTCTGCTTAGATTGTTAGGACAAGTGGAAACTGCCGATTGGGTGAGTACAAACAAACAGTGACTATCCATACCATTATTGCTTATATTTTGTTGTCTTTATTTTGTGGCTTATAGTTTGTAAAGGCTATATTCTGTTTTAACGAGTTCAAGGGAAGAAAGGTCCTAAATGCAATTGAAAGTTCAGTAGCTTCTAATTCAATCGCTTGAAATAGCTCCTACAAAATTGGAATTTAAGGTCTCTTTGGTGCAAAAAATGAAAAGGAAATTGGTGTTATTTTAGTGCAGAATGTACATTTTATTTCTATGCTCAATCACAAATTTCCATACAATACTAAAATGGTTGAATAGACCTACAACTCCACACTTGGACAAATTTAGTCAATGAAATACAATATGGACATACTGGAAAGGAAAATGGACATTACAAGCAAGCAATGCATGACACATAACAAGCCAAACCACAATGTAGCAACAGACAAAGCAAATGGAACACTGACTTATGCTGACAATTTACTTGATTACAAGTCAGAAATGATAGCATAAAGCTAAGCTCAGAAAAAATGTGGACACTGGAGACACCCAAATGACAGGCAGAAAATGGGCAACAGTGCCTAGAAGGCAAAGATAAATAAGTGGCGTCTTTTATCCAGACCTGAGACAGGCAAAAGGCTCTTGTATATCCTGGACTCTCAAACCTTTCAAGAGTGGTTGCCATCACAGGTGGTGCAAGGATATAATCATAAAGCAGCAAGCAACCTCCCATCATTGGGAGCTTTGCTCCTTTCAACCCACATAAGGGTCAAATTGCTGTTCTTGATTTCTCCTCCACTTACTCCACACATATTCATATCTTTCAATGCCCGAACAACATCTAATACTTTATGGTTAATTTTTACCATATTAGTTGGAATAACACACTGCAGTGTGGGCAACTGCTCTGAGCTTATTTTTCGCAAAATAAACAGCACAAGTCGTTGCTTGGAGCACAAACTAGACGGAAATTTGAAATAGAGGAACAACGGACATTCTTCAGCAGGAAGCCTATTCCAAGAACTCCGATACAGTAAAGGATAGTTTGCAACATTTAAATCTTCTGCATTCAAGGGAAAAATACCAGGTAAATGACAGTCAATAATTTCAGAGATAGGAGAACATTCACTACTAGCGATACATGCAGATATCTTGACCTGAGAGTAAAACTAAGTCTTTTTCTCTTTTGGATTTCATGAGGTACGGACGTCCATGGCAGGACCGAGATTTTTTTCCTAATCCCTGAATTCTCTTTAACAGAGTGGCTTGCTTGGGCCATTTCAGAAGGCAGTTAAGAGTCAACAACATTGCTGTGGGGCTGGAGTAACATGTAGGTCAGACCATGCAAGAACAGCAGCTTTTTTTCCACGAAAGGACATTAGCTAATAGGCAAGTTATTACAACAATCATTACAGGTGGAAGCAGGAATTTTACAATTTACAATTTTAAGCAATTGACATTCCACTGATACGGCAGTCGGGTCTTAAAATACAAAAGCAGCAATTTTCCTTCAATTACAATTTTGTAGAGACTCAATATCTCTAAAGATCAAATACTATGGCAACTATTCAAAGCAAATACTACAGGAGTTTAGCATTCACTGCTTAAATCTCCAAAAATATGCCCCAAAATAATACGTTCAGGTTGTGCTATGATAAACAGGAATTTTATTGTCCGTAATTTTCAGCACATAGTCCATTTATAAATACCACAAATGTATTTGCTAAAATAGGTTGACAGAATTCTCCGAATACTGTGTTGCAAACCTGATAACATGCATTATATAATACATTTGACGGGAATGAGATGGCAACAGAAACTGCCATTAGAAGCTGATGTATAACCAACAACCAAGAGAACACAACAAACTGTACCATAGGATGCATTACAGCCTTAATAATCGATTAGATGACGAATAAAATACTCAACACCAAAAGATCTGTTAGGTATCAAACGTACCCAGCAGAAACATCACGTAACAGATTTTTACCATGCTTACAGCATAGTAAACCAAGCTGTTTTTCAGCTGAGAGTTTGTAATCCAGCCAAGTCACTGCAGTTGACTTCAAGTGTCTTACTCAATAGCACGATATCTCAGCACAGTGCTTAAATTGTGGAAATGTCTGCTACAAACGTGAGTTCTTAAATTCTTTAAAAAAGGCCATTTTGCTTTAAAAATATTAATCAGTGGCAGTGAGCTTAAAAAGTGGGATTTAGCTCTTGTGGAAAACAGCACACTGACAACAACTTTGATAGAACCTTCAACATAGGTTGTTGACTTGCTCGCCAAGCTGGCTGGTTGCAGTTCAGAAATTTCGTCACCATGCTAGGTAACATCATCGATGTATTCTATTCCGCTTGGTATTTACATGATCCGGTCTGTTGAGATGTTGTGTGTCATTCCTGGTTCTTTTTTGCAAGGGTTTGCATATGGGGTCTAATTCCACATGTTTGTCGATTGCACTATGGGTGGAGAACGAGGTCTCAAGGAATTCTCGTATGTGTCTATGGTTGGCTTGAGCT